CATTATCATCCCTAACCGGAAGCTACCTCCAGTGGACACCCACTTTCAAAGGAAAAATCAGTTCTTGTCCACTAGAGTCTCACCATATATATAAACCACACTTAGAAGCTCAATGACCACTGATAGATGGCCAATGCAAAACAAGGTATTTTTGTAGATTTTTTTCTCATAATGCTTTGTTTTGGCATTAAAAAACATCTTAGCTGTCCTTTGCTTATATATTATAGTTTCAGATTTTATGGTTTTATGATTTTTGTGTATATATGTGTATCAGTCTGTGTATGCATGTTTCTTGTGATTTTCTTTTTACACATGCTTTCTGTTTGTTTTAAGTTGTCTCCTTGTTATCTAAAAAGGGGGAGAAGGAAGGCATGGAGTTGGATGGGTAGGAGGTGAGAAATATCTGGGAGGAGATGGGGTTGGAAATCATGACCAGAAGACACTGCATGATCTTCAATAAAAAGGAAAAAGTCTACATATGCTAGGAATATACATCAGAAGAAATACATGTCTATCTATCTATCTTTCTATCTATCTATCTATCATTATTTATCTATAGTCAATCTTCTAACTTCTATAACATATGTCTCTGTCATCTATAAAGCTAGCATCTATATACTACTAAAATTTATGTTATTTACTTATCTACCTTCTGTCTTATCTATTCATCAGTCTACTATCTCTATCTTCCATTATCTCTCAACCTATCATCTATGTTTTTATCTATATCCCTTCTATCATCTTCTATCATTTTTCTCTTAATCATTTATCTATCATTCACCTATCATTTCTGTCATCTGTGATCTACTTACCTACCAATCTACCTTCTACTCTGCATATCTGCCATTTACCTGTTTGCCTTTCTACCTATCTGATCATCTATTATACATCATTAAGGCATCTATCAATTGCCCATTTTTTTCAATGTATATTCATCAGCCATTTACTTATCTGATCATCTGTCATCCTTACTATTACCAACATGTACAGTTTTCTAACTATTTGGCTATCATTTATTTACCTTTCTATCTAAATTCAATAATGATGGTGTATCACAAGACTGTGCAGAGAGGGAGGAGTGATGAGCAGAAGGGTCAAGATCATGCTGGGGAAACCCACAGAAACATCTGACCTCAGCAACAGATCCCAGACTGATAGCTGGAACCAGCATAAGACTGAACAGGCCCCCTGAATGTGGGTATCAGTTGGGGGACTTGGGCAGTCTTTGGGGCGGCTGAAAATAGAACTAGTATGTATCCCTAGTGCATGAATGAGCTCTGGGAGCCCATTCTCTATGGAGGGTTACTCTATCAGCCCAGATACATGGAGGAGGGCCTAGACACTGCCCCAAATGACTTGATAGACTTTGATGTTCTCCATGGACTTACCCTCCCTGGGGAGAGGATAGGGGGTAGGGGTGGAATGGGGAGTTGGTGGGGGAATGGGAAGACTGGAGGGAAAGGGAACTGGGGTCACTATGCAAAAAAAGATTGTTTTTAATATAAATAAAATTTAATTTTAAAAAAGAACTTTAGCAATTGAAAATAGCACAGAGAAGATCCAACATTAGCTAGTTTTAATATTTACAGTTTTAAAGACAGTAATTTTTACTTTAAAAAATTTTAATAAACTTGTATTATTTTCCCTTGCCCTTTCCTCTCTCCAACCCCTCCCATTCTTGGTAGCTTATTGTACATGATGTCTCTGCACACAGAAAGATGGTTCCACCACCTGCTTGGCATCAAACTCCATGTGACAAAGATCTAGAAACTGATCTTGATGGAAAGATAAAGATGGAAGGGACTGCACTGAGGACAAATGACTGTGTGTCTATGCTGTGCATCACTACTGACTCCTTTGGTCCTGACAGGTGAAGCTCTGAGTCAGAAAAGACTGTCACTCCTGTGTGTGTGTGTGTGTGTGTGTGTGTGTGTGTGTAGAGGGTGGTATTCTTTACTTTCATGGTGTTTCAGTTGTGGAAAACTAGGTAAGATTTCCTTTTTCTACCTGTCAGAATGAACACATCACATAGATGACACTTATAGATTTTGCGTGGGAAATAAGAATCTGGGATAAAATAAAGGTTGAGGGATGTTTATTTGGAGAGAAAATCACTTACACCAGAAACAGATGATTGTGCAGATTTCTGTTTCAAGGATGCCCCTGAATGCTCTCTGTCCCCAACCAGGAAGTAAAAGAATGATGTGGAGTCTGGGTCCCCAGACCTAGCCCCCCCATCGGTAAAGTCAATACCTGTCTCCATGCCCCAATCTGTGCAATAGCTGCTGGAAGGGTGGATATCTCACTACATTATCTCTTTTTATCTCTCATTGTCCTACAATGATTGTTGGAAACCCATCTTCAACATCGTAACGTATGAATCGGGACGTAGCTTTGTCTATCCTCGGATTCTCAAACCCACCCAAGAGTTTGTCATTTTCCTGAGTTGTCTTCCAGTATTGAGATAGAGTGATCTCCTCACACACATGCTCTGGAGACAATGATATTTAGAGCCTCTTTTCTCTTTTGTTTTACACCCATCTTATGACATAACTCTACAGTTTTTAGTTTGAGGAAATGCTGGTATCACTGGGCTTTGCTATTCTTTGCTCAAAGTCACTTCAGAATTCACATATTCAGACTTTACATTTCATGAGTTCTTTTGCTTTATGTCTTCCCTGGAGGAAAGAACCCATATTGGGTTAAAACTTATGCCTATCATTCATCCATTGTTTCAGAGTCAATCCTCAAATATTTACTAAGGCTAGACATAGTAACAGTGTGAAGTTACCGAGTTTTGCATATTAGCAATGTCACAAATCAGTACATAAGTTCCATGAACTGGGTAATTCATGAGAAAATTCCCACAAAGTTGAATTTCAGTCCAATCTTAAGGAATAGTTCTTGTACAACCTGGGTTTGTGATAGGAGATTTGCATTCATAACATGTCTTGGGATTTGTTGGACATTAGCAAACTCATTTTGTTGTTTTAGAGAAAATATTTCAGCACATTGTAGGTTGTAAAATTAATCAAGTCCACCTTGATTAGTGGAAAAGCAGGGGTCAAACTGTTGGCAAGTTTTTGGAATATATTTGGTAGTGAATGTTGTCTTGTGATTCCACCCAGAATTACATCTTGCATTCTCTGATCCACCAGTCAGTCAAAACACACTTCATTTAGAATTAAGAGCCCATTGTTGTAAAGCTAATTATATCTAGGTGAATCAAAAGGTAAGACAAATGATTGCCTGACAACCTTTAAGCATATGTCTTCCCTGTCTTCATGGCTTACCTATTCATCTGTGTAAGATAAATGACTCCTTCTCAAGACAACTATATTAGGTTTCTACAGCTAAAAAAAATGATCAGGAAATCTGACTGTACTGCTATTTTATTTATATTTTTATTGCTTTTGTGAGTGTACTTACAATTATGTTGCATATCACATTTAGCATCCCCAATGTTTTGAATGAAATTTTGTTTTGTTAAAGGCTTGAATTATTGAAGACTAGATTGGTTTATAGAATACAGTAAGGATTTCATACAGGCTCTAGTTTTGTATTATTGTTAAATTAATATTTTAGTGATGGTTTGATTTTTGAAGATTGATTTGCATTCTCCAACTAATCTTGTAGCTAAATAAATCAACACCATTGGGATACATAGACTTCTTATTAGCTTATTGTATTATGGTATCTATGAACACACAAGAAATATTTGGTGAGCAAATTAAAACTTTTTGTGAAATTACATACTGGATATTAAATATTTTGTTATAAGACAAACATTTTATGCCCATATTCACCTCTCAAGCCCCCATACCACTTATAATCTTGATATTGTTAGGTGCACGTGGGAAACAAAAATTGTGAAAATAACATACATGTTTTAGGCAAACCAAAATACATTGACATCACTGTTCATTTATTAGAGAATAAAATATTAGGACTCATTTCAGTATCTGAATTGCCTTGACTCTTCATTTCTCTTTGCATGTTTAGACCTGCTCAGTAACTGAATAGGACAAGAACCTGAAGCCATTCCTTCAATGCCTGAATTTAACTTTTGTATTCATGATGTGAATCCTTTCCACAAGAATTTCATTTGCCTTAACTTGTTTCTGTGTCTAAAACAGACAGATGATTCTGTTTGATTAAATGTATAAACCTTGAGATTACATTATTTTCATTTATGAATTATTTTCTTTGAATGGATGTGTCCAAGAAAGTTTAACCTACATAAATTGGAGACTTTGAAAATTATCTTGTAGAGAAACCAGAACTCCTTTATCCTTTTCTTTAAAAAACAAAAAGTTGAGTTTTTAATGAGTTTCCCAGAAGGATTAAAAATAAATAATAAGTAGCCATTTATATCCTTTGATGAGTTCAGTCAAATTGTTATTTAATCTATAAAGCTTTCAGGACTATTGCTTTACAATTATCATCATCTAGCTGTTATGATATAAAATAAAAAAACTTGAAGTGAAAATAACAGGTTATCTCTGAAAATATGTGCATGTTTTATTGATATGGAGTGCCAATTGCAATTGTGATTTTGTTATCAGAATACACGACAATGAGTCCATAGCTGCTTCCAATACTGGTGGGAGAGACAACATGAAGTTACAGCTTGCTGGATGCAGTTCATCTAAAGCCCATCCCATGTCCTCTCAAAGATAATAATGTTTCTGCCAATTAAAACTGATAGAGTATATGCTATCATCACATGTCTAAAACTGAGAATCTACTTGATATTTGACTACATGAACTGGAATAAATACTGTGTCGGATAAGAGTGAGTACAGATATTACACAGGATATTGTAATGTCCAAATAAGTCATTTATATTCCTGTGTCGGGTAAAAAATAAAATCAAATCAAAAGCTTCATCTCAGCTTAAATCTGCCATAAAGTTGTTCTCTTGCCTGATGTACTCACAGTTTCTGGAAAGACTATAAAACGCATGAGCCTAAGCCATGGGCTGACGTTCAAAACAAGCCTTAGACGTAGCTGGTTGAGGTTTTGCTAGGCACCGTCACCTTCCTTTGGTTATCTTTTTGTGGCACACGGTACGCTGGGACTGGATATCTGGGCCACTGTTTGTCTCTGTTGCAGCAGCAATATCCACAGAGCAGCCCTCCTCCAATGAAGAGGACAGCAACCGTTGCCCAGCCAAGAAAGAGCGCTCCTCCAAGCTCTCGCTTCTGACCAACGTGGATGGTTGGGTCATAGAAATCCCTGATGATGATGTTGGCAGTCCAGGATACCGGAATCAGAACGAAGATACCAGTCAGAATAAAGAGGACTCCTGAGGTTCCCAGCAGGTACGCTTTGACCCTCTCACTGGAGCCAGTGCACTGGATGTGTTTCATGCCGCAGATGCCAATAATGAGAGCAATCAAGGAAAGAGCAATAGCCACACACATGAGTGCACGTGCTGCCTCCAGTACTGGTGGAAGAGCCAAAATGGAGGTATAGAATTTGCACTGCAACGTGACCATAGCTTGCTGGATGCAGTTCATCCAGAGCCCTTCCCAGATCCTCTCAAAGATAATGATGTTGCTGCCAATGAAAGCTGATACTCTCCATTGAGGCAGAAGTGTCGTGCCAATCGTCCCAACCATACCGAAGAACCCAAGAACCAGTCCAGCAATCTGAAGGGGATAAAAAGCCATTGTCTCTTCTCTGCAGACTGGTCCAGCGTGGAAGGGTAGGAGATGCTCAAGATTTAGAAGGTGAAGGAGTCTTCTAATCTAGGGGAACATCTGATCTTCTCCACTCCTGCTGCCCATGATGCACTCACTAGTCTTAATCAGTAACAGTGACTGGAGTTGGCTTAACTTGAAGTACCTGTTGTAAATTCATGTGTGGTGTTCACTCCCCCCCCCACACACACACGCACGCCTTCATTTCTGTTTGGTTTATTCACTCAGCACATATAATTCTTTCCCAGCCAATAAGAACGTAGCCAGAGGTGTGTCAAGAAATACTGCCTTCAACTTTAGCATTTCTCATGTTATTATTGTCTTAGCAATGCTGTAATTAAGTGCCAAGAAGCTTCCATTGTGAATTGCTAATTACAGAGCTGAAAACATTCATCTTAAAAGCAGTCTTATATGAAAGTCTAAATACATGTGGTTAAGTCGGAACTTGAAGATGCCAAAACTCTGCCAGTGAAAGTCATTCCAGACTTTGGCCACTAGCTGCTCCTTGTGAATAGACTATTTTCCAACCATGACTTCTGGATAGAGAAAGGTTTTGTTACATGACATCAGGACTTCTACTAAGACTAGGAATGCTTCAGAAGAGCCCTTAGCACGAGATTCAAATCTCCCAGTTACTCTTTCGATCCTGGAAGGAGGGACCAAGAAGATTACTGCTTATAATTGTTTGAATATACTAGCAATTATTCTGTTAGGTGCTAAGTGACACCTCTCACCCTGCTGAAAGATGGTTAGCGTGCAAACTTTCATTAGATGTTTCTTCAGTGACAGCTTGAAATACATCATATTTATAGAAGCTGAAAGTTGACATTCCACTTTTTTGAAAAAATATAAAGCTGCCCTTTGAGCTACAATATTACTCAAAATTCTCATAGACAGCTTTTCAGAGCTAGAAGCTATCTTTGAAGTTTACAAGCTGCTTCCTTCCTTACTAATCACAGACCATGAGGTCTACAGTGTTTGGGGATGAGGCTAGCTGTAATATCTCCCCTGCATTTCTTCTCTACATTTAGTCTGATTCAAGAGCAGGATAAAAAAATGTGTTTGTCAAACACATTTATATAAATCTGGCATTTGACACTAACCTCTCCCCACTTATTTCAAATTTTTTTTCAAGAAAAATTCAATTGAGTCTCTTTTGAAAGTCACGCGTGACTTCAACATTCTGGACTACCATTTCCTTGGGTCTTATGGTAGGGAGTGTGTACCTTTTGAACACCTTAGTGAATCCCATAGGAATCATTTTAATCAAATGCAAACAGGTCATCTAGTCTTTCCCTGGGAGATATTGTAGTGTGCAAATGATCTTCCATTGCAGTGAAATACAGACTAAAGAATTAATGGACAGTCCAACACTGTAAGACTTTTGGAATCTATGGGATTTTATGATGGGTGGTCTGAGAATTCCCACACCCTACAATGTGTGAATCATTGAGGAAGCAGATAATCTGAGTACTTGACAGCTTCCTGTTGCCAGTCAGGAAGAAGGGCTTTGGGACCCTTTGTTCTGGGTTCTGACACACAAGTTTTACCGTTCCCACCCTGTCAGGATTAGCCAACGGAACTCTGATTTTGCAACCTCCAGATCTTCCTCATTCCACTTGCTTCTCCTTGTTCCAACACATTTTCAGTTTTATCTTCACTTTGCTGTGGAAGTGTCCAGATTGCTGCTCTTTTCCAGCTGTTTGGTTTCCCGCCAGCGAGACTGTTTGGCTGGCTTTCAGAATACATACAAGTTGAGAGTGTTGACTTAGAACACAATGCTATGTCTTGCATTTAAGAATAATGTGAGAATCACAACTCATGTCCTTAAAAGCCAAACCCAACTGTCACACTGCCTCTACTTCTCCTTTGCTCGGGAGACATTTCTTCTTCTCAAAATCGCTATGACCCTCATCACCTGCCCCCTGCTTTGATGGAATCTTGTTCCATCCTCCGTTTCCTCTGTTCACTGCTCCTATGCCCTCTCTTGTTTTCTGGGTTGTTCTTTAGAAAACAAGCATATCCAAAATATCTTTCACTTTATTGTTTTCCTTTTGAAATTTTTTTCATGGCTTTACCATAGAATTATGTCATTTTTCCCTGTTTTCGTTCCTCCCTTTAACTCACTCCATGTCCTCCACCATGACTAAATTGATAGTTTCTTTTTTCTTTGATAATGGCTCTCTCTCTCTCTCTCTCTCTCTCTCTCTCTCTCTCTCTCACACACACACACACACACACACACACACACACACACACGTATTTACAAATATATACATGTAATCTCCTGAGACCTTTTCGTTGTTTGTTTCTGTGTGGTTTCAAGCCTGACCACTTTGTGTTGAATAATCAGTAAGAAGGCTCATCCCTGTGTGAGGCTAATTCTACCTTTCTCAAAAATCACGAGTTTCCAGTAATTCTTTGCCTAAAGACAGGAACCCTTGAAATCTCTTCCTTTCATGTTAGCTCGCCTACTTATATTGCCACTGTTTCAGTCTTGATTATCCACCCATTTTGAGGAGAGATTGCTTCACAGCACACGTCCTGCAATTCTATCTCCTAAAATCTTTCTTTCCCCCTCTTTCATGAGATTTGCTGAACTATAGATACAGAAGCTATGCTGTATCTGTCCACTTGGGCTGGGCTTCTCATGACCTGTTGACCTATGTCCAGTTGACCTATGTCCGGTTGTGGTTTTCCACAGTGGTCTCTATTTAAGGAGAACTTTCTTTGACGAAGGGTGATTGCTCTACTTATTTTTGGTTGTATAGATAGGACTTACAGTTTACTTGGAAATTATGATGATCTAGAAAATTGATGGTAACAGATTCTCTTCTAAGGTCCATGACCCCACTAGTCCACAGAAGTTGGCTAGGTTTGTAGTAGCAGGCATGATTTCTTGCCTGTTGAGTCTACCTTAGGGAGTCCATTAGATAGCAATTGGCTGTCTCTAACATGTGAGTGCCACTATTGTACCTTTCTTGGTGTTTTGTCATATTTGTCATTGTTGTTCATAGGTGTTGCAAAGGAGTATGATGATTAGTTGTTTCCGTCATTTGGCAGGTTTCAAAGTGTTTTCTGGTACCATGGAAGCTAAACCAAAGGAAGGAGGCTTACTGAGTAGATCCAGCTGGAATCACCCTAGTCCAGTGTTCTAAGGGTACAGTGACTTCAATAATAGGGGCTTCCCTACCACCTTTGAGAGGCAACAAAGGCCTAAATCAATAATCTATTTGTGTTGAGAACCACTTGGACCACTTTGACTAACCACGTGAAAAGAAGTTTCTCCAGCATTTTACTGGGATTTTTGTTAGTCGTTATTCTTGTGGAGATCACTGCTAACCCAATTGGCTTAACTTCCTTTACTCGATGTGTGTCTGTGTCTATATTTGTATCATCAATATCTAAATTCTTAATACACATTCCTGGTCATGTATGAACATACATTCCTGGTCATGTATGAACATACATGTTTTGCTTCACTTGCATTTTTGTCTTCTGCATATTGGAGTCTACATAATAACACTGATGGGCCAGTGTACTGGAAATGTGACAGAGAATCCAGACAGCTTAGGTACTGTTGCCAATTCAACCTTCCATAGCTTTTTTCCCCCTATGTCTTTCTGTAAAGGTGACCATAAATTGTCTTCTTTTTAGGAAAAAGTAAAGAAAAAATGTTTGGAGAAAATTGTAGTCTTTTGATATTTTAGCTATCCATTTTGAGTGGGCTTTTGAAACCTCCTAAAGTTTCAGTTCTATAAAATCACATAATCACAATACCACTGACTTTATGGGGCTTATTTAAAGATTAAATTTATATAATATGTGCAAACTATCTGGCCTCTAGCAAACACAGAGAAAATGTTTGTCATTGATATTCACTTTATTTGCTCTTGTTACATGTTGTGTTATCAAGCTTGCTACTTCTTTGTCTTTAGCCCATCTTAGGTTCTCCTTTTTAAAGGCATAGTTAACCCTATCTGTTTTCTCTCAGGGTTTTATATACACCTCAATAGACCTGTCAATCATATATTCCTTTGGGGGATTATCAGGTGTGGCCAGAGTTTCTACTATTTTCAGACAGGCTGTAATTTCTGAAGCTTTTATCTCTAGCCTGGACTCTTTCTGGTATAAGTCTCCTTGCTTTTTATGAGTTTTTTGTTTGTTTGTTTTGTTTTGTTTTTTTGTTTTGTTTTGTTTTTTTGCCTCCCACCTCTTGGATGTATGGGAACATGTGGGATATGCTGGGATCTTCTTCTCCTATGTTCCTTCTAATTGCTGAGAGTGTTGCAACAACACACTCTCAGTGGTCAGCCTCCTTCACATGCTGCCTTAAGACAAACATACATCCAAGTCATGCTTTATTCATACCGGAAGCCCATATCCAGTGACTAATTAATCAGGGGACGTAAACAGCCAGTCTGACAGCCCCAACCAGAGATTTAGGGTGAGGTATTCCAGCTCCTGGGTTCCCTGTGGAGCCAGAGGAAGCCTTCATGGCATGTATACCAACCACACTGGACCTCTGTTAAAGTCTCTTCCTTCCCGTCTCTTTGGTCTACAGGAAACAATATATTACTCTTTGTTATGTAGACAGCATATAAGGCAACCCAGTAATTGATTGACACTTTATTAATTATGATTCCTGTTCTAACAGGAATTTAGCCCTTCAACGTTTCATTTTGAATCATTTCAATAAGGTTTATTTAGTCTTTTTTTTCCCACAGTCTAATGCTTTTTGTCCATAGTCCATCAGCAAATAAATACTTAACTCCAAACTTAAAAATTTCCTCTGGTTCTTCACAGCTGCACAAGATAAATTCTAATTCCTTGACATGATAGTATTCTTTGAATTTGGCACATGCCCAAATCTAAAACCTCATTTAGGATTATGCATTACTCAATGGTATGTTCTTAGAGAGTTTACCTTTTAGTTGGCATATTATTAAACAAGTAACTGCACTAATGAATATAAGTGATGTATATGTAATCACATATTTCATATGTAATAACATATGCATATTATATAGTTTATA